CCCCCCCCACGACTCCCTCCCCCCTTTTCTCCAATAACCGTACAAGTTTGAAGTGCACGCGAACACGTCAGTCTCAACTTGAAATTGAGTTGTCATCCACTCGTACAAAGTTACAGTGCCCTCATAATGTAGCCCGGCGGAGTATTACGGGAAAACTATTAGTAATCGGAACTATAATGGATGAGATTATTAGTCAGCTTGAGTGATTGTCGATATTCATTGGAATGCCAATTTTCGTCGGGAGTTCGTTTGGAATGGATTGAGTTTTCATTTCTAATTCTGTAGAGGAAGAGGTTAAGTTATATTTCTGAGGTGACCCCAATTAAAGAGCTTTCACTCGAAAGCAAAAACTAAGAGAAATCAGTGCGATGACAGAATTATATTATTATTCATTTTGACTGCATGTCGATATTCATTGAAATGACATCTCTCTGAATTCGACTAGAGTTCATTTGGAGCGGAGTGAATTTTCATTTCCAATTTAGCAGAGAAGAACATTACGTAATATTTTTAAAGTGATTCGACCTTTCTATATAATTTTTTGACACCTAAAGGAGGAGAATGTTGGATTTGAATGTAAAATTTTTCTTCACATCCAATTTTAATGCGGTCGTGACGATTAGATTATGATTTCTAGTTCAACGTCAGTATTAGAGCGAATTTTAGGAACCGAGACAGATTGTTAATATAGTAATGAATCAGGGTCTAAAGGGAAAGCAAAAATTAACAGAAATAAATGCTATTATAGAATGACATTATTATTCATCTTGACTATCGATATTCATAGGAATGACATTTCTCTGAATTCCACTAGAGTTCATTTGAAGTGGAGTGAATTATCATTTCTAATTTAGCAGAGAAGAATATTACGTCATATTTTTGAAGTGGTTCGACCTTTCTATATAATTTTACGACACATAAAGGAGGAGAATGTTGCATTGGAATGTAACATTTTTCTTCACATCCAATTTCAAAGCGTTCGTAATGATTAGATTATGATTTCTAGCAAACTTTAGGCAATGAGACGGATTGTAAATAGAAATGGATGCGAGACTACCTTCTCGAAACAGCAACGATCAAACATGAAAAATCAAAACCTCAAGTACAAAGTTCCAAGGGAAACAAAAACTATCAGAAATCAGTGCTATTATAGAACGATATTATTCCTCATCTTGACTGTAGGTCGATATTGATTTGAACGTCACATTTCCGCAAAATGAAATTTGAACCCATCATCAATCGATTGAACTGTCGCTCCTAATTCAAAATGAATATGGGATCAAACTCCCGCCTGTAACTAGACCCCGAACACGAATTTAGTTTAAATAAAAAAGAGAATGATGAAACATTAAGTGGATCAGTGGCAGCGTGCTTGCCAGTATCGTTTACGTAGAATGTCGGCGTAATATTCTTTTGATCGGAAATCCAATATTTTTCCCTGTTTCCCAGTCATTAGCTTCGCATCTCGACAGGGCATTACAGTTATCCTTCTTCTCCACCCCCTCGTATCTTCCTCCAACCGAGTTGCAAGCGCTCTATGTTCCACTTTCGTTCATTCATCCGTATAGATATACCCCCCGGTATACATCATACCCTCTGCCTAGTCTCAGCAGCCTTATATTCACCGAGCGTTTCACGTCATCCGCGATTCAAGAAGAGCGAGATACGCGGCGATGGTTTTACGATACCCAGACTGACATCCTGAGGTTCCGTGCCTTCGTGACTAATCGCGTTCAATTTCTGTCGGAAGCATTAAAGTTTTCACGTTAAAACGTACACCACTCGCTCAGTGTGCACCCCAGTCTCTCGTTGCCTCTCAGTGGCAAGGAGTGTTATGTACCATGTCGAGAATCTACGGGTCACGCTTCATTTAAAAACTTTACACTCGATAACTCTCTTATCCAATTTTACCCACGTGTAGAAGGCTGGAGTCTATCATTCATATTTCAGAGACGTATTCATTGGGGGTTGAAGAGTAATTCGATTACCAATTGCTCGTAATATTTACAATAACTGAAGAAACATTATTATGTGAATCGAATAAAGTCATTTATTTCAAATTGCTCTATTCATTTCATTAAGGTTTGCAATTTCCAATCTTTCTGTTGGAAATTGCAAACCTGAAATTGGACAATTTATGTATTTCTTGCGATGAAAATGTGGATATTATATGGAATTGATAGTTCATTCATCCTAAATGAATTTTCTATTAGGATTGGATAAACTATTCCTTTGGGTCGACAGTGAGGCCCTTGTTCAAAACAATTCGAGAAAAAGAGACGTGTCATAGCATTTGCTTCGAAAAGTCAAGTCAGTTCGGCTCTAGCAGTCCACCAAGACACATCAAAAAATTTCTGCCATCCAATACTAAAATCAATATTAACCATCTTATTCCAATCGTGATATCCAAATTAATTAAACCAAATTAAATTATCTTGACTCGTCTAACCACTAATAATCTAAAAAATATTTCAATCAAACTAAATCTATTGATAGATAATGCAAACAAACAAATTAAAAATATTTTACAAATTTCAACCGACTTTAATATTTATAACAACATTCAATATCGCTTTAAAAATATCGCTTTAAATTTAATGCAATGAATTGACAAAAGGGAAGAGCAAATATTTTAATAAGAAATATAAGGTGAGGTCCAATGTGTTAGTCATTCACAGATCTGTCAATTGTAATTCTTTGAAACTCGTATCAAACATCCAAGTAAATCAAATCCATTAATTATCGTATGTTTCATTCGAAAACAACAATAAATCAAATTTTAACCTGAGTGAAATTATTTCAGTAGCGAAGTGGTAAAACGGTATAAGTCAATTTTGACTACTGACCAGTTTTCAATCAATATCTCAGAATCTAAGGGAGATATTGAAAAAAAAATTTTTGCTATAACCTTTTTTGTGGAGCCGATTAAGTGCTACAACAACTGTAATTACGATAATTTCGCTGTTTCCCTTACATTCGGGAATATTCCTCAAAAACTCAACTGGGAGATGAGTCGACTTAAACACTTTACCACTTCGCTACAGATTTATACCTCAGGAGCATTTTTGAAAACGAGGCAACAGAGTTGCTTTATCGAAAAGAAGAGGAAACTCTTGAATCGAATTCCCTCGATATCATCAATCATTAATACTAATTCATCACTGTATCAATAAATCTCGACAAACCTTTCATGACGAATGTTCTTGTCATTCCAGAGGGGAGAATTTTAGAGCTTCATTCACCCGATGGCGTCCACGAGTGCTGGCTAAGAGCATCTGACAATGCTGAAGCGAATGTGTGGTTCAATGCACTTCACTCAGCACTAGCGGCTCTCACCCTCAAAGCCCTGAGGCTTGCATCTGCACTACCAGATCCTCCCCAGCTTCAACACATTGGATGGCTCGCCAGGCGACACTGTGTTCAGGTAAAATTCCCTCCTTACTTTAAATCATCTCAAGTGCATGGAAGCACTCACACTACTCCCAATAATGACGGAGAATATTATTCCTGGGAATATGTTGTAATGAGAAGTTGTTGAACGATCTATGCCGGGATGTCATCACGAGCGTCGTATATAGTTTGACAATTAATCGGTGATAATCAAATCGCCGTGTCATATCGGACGCTGCACAATTATGTGGGCTGACTGACGAATAGACTCCATGATTGTCACGGCTACGGTGTCGTGTAGCCTCTCACACATAACCCTCCCTCCCGTTCTAAATATTAGGCCGTCAACTGCTCTCTAGTGCGGAAGCCGAGGAGAAATGTGCTATTTACGATGTAATCGGCGGGAACAATTGGATGATGAAACCCTCTTGATGACATCCTGACGTTAGTTCGGGTTATATTATTCTAATTGGTTTTGTGGCAGTGTCACGGGTTATTACAGCCGACGGGGGATGAAATATTGGAATTGTGTCGATGGATGTTTGGACGGTTTGAGGTGACAGACGTGTAAAGACTTAAAATTGTTGTAAGTTTATTGGGCTGAATAATTGTTTCGAATGATTAATGATTCTTTAGTCATATGAGGATGAAATCTTGTCATTGAAAAATGAAATATTCTGTTAATTTTCTGTTCGAATGATCTGGAAATCAACAACATACTTGATTTTTCAGGTCAATTATTTTGTGAAAGTTCAGAAAAGCCAGGAAATTTCAGGGAAAAATTGAAAATTCATGGCATTTTGTTTCTGAATATTCATGTTTCACTGAAAATTCAATCAAATTGTAAAAGTTCCGTCTCACTCCCCCCGAAAACTCATGAATTTTCGTGAATTCTACTTGAAATTTGAAATTTCATAACCATTTTTTCCCTAAATTCGATTCAATGTCACTCTGATGGGATTTACTATAATATCTTCCATCAAATTTCAATAAAGTTCTAACAGTGAATAAAAATTCAGTTCATTTTAGCGCTGAATATTTATGTTTTTATCCAAAAAATAGAACCTCTCGTCTTGTACTGATCAAAAATCTCAAATTCCATTAAATTTTCATGTACAAGAGCTCCAGAACTATTATTTTTTTAATCAATTGACAATTCTTCTGGGATTTCAAAGAATTTGGTAATTCAAAATTCAAATTCGCTGATAAAACGAATGTAATGTGAATTTCCGGTCAATTATTCCGTAAAAATTCATAAAAAACCGGAAACCCCGACGGCCTGGTGCAGAGTTTAAACCATTTAAAAGTCTTTATCATCATCGCAATATACTCAGTCGAGTCGCAGCGCTCTAAAACATCAATAAAAAAACCGGAAATCAATTCAAAATTCAGGCTACATCTAGTTACTACCAATAATCCCTCAGAAGTAGGAAACAAATTCCCTGAAATTACGAATAGATCCCTAAAAACAGAAATTTTACTTCTCTCTGCGGGAAACATTCGGGAGCATCACTGAACATATTCCAACAATACCCTTCGTGGCCTACAAGACACAATTAAATTACTGCAACCACTGCGTTAATCTCAACTCAGTAGCTCATCTTCGCTATCTAATTGAATTTGGAGGCACCCGTATTTGGCTCTTCCCTATAATCACATCATCGACGGATGTCACGCGGTAATTCAACTGCAGAATTAAAAAAAACTTCATATTCCGATTATAGCAATCTTAATTGATCTTCCTTTCTATCGTCGAAAGGAAATCACAGTCACTCTCTGAACGGAGCCTGCAGCAACGGATTGAGGATGCAAGGGCGGGGGGGGGGGGGGG